AAGCAGAGTCCAGAATGCATACGTAGTTAACTTTTCTTGATTAATCAAGAATGGGTTTTATATTAATAGTGGCATGAACAACGAAATCTGCACCCCTATACCCCATTCCATGAAAAACAGCTGGAGTAGCATGAACTCATGGAATTTGTGTAATCTTTACACAAGGGAATAAGAAACAACAAAACAACAACAACAGAATTGCCAATTCTGGAATAATTAAAAAATAGTTGATATTTATTCCAATAGATGGCACAAGCCATCAGAAAGTTTCAGTTGCACAATAATGAGATCCCTATTTCATAATTAAGAAAACTGTCCTTTGTAAAGAGGTATCTTAAAATGTCTTCTCATGGAGGTTCTACTTGTTACAATAATTAAGTTATAATTAAAAGTAATTATTATTTATTCTGTTTGCTATATAGTCTACAACATTTGAAAGTTTGGTGATGGTACAGTAGAACTACATCCCTGTAAAGGACAACACCTAATTACAGAGCCAAAGTGTCCTTTAAGGAGAGGTGTCTTCCTACCAGAGAATTGCTAAATAGTAAAAAAAGCTCATTTTGCAATTGAACACTGTCCTTTATAGAGAGGTGTCCTCTTGTGCGAATGTCCTCTCATGAAGGTTCTACTGTATTTTTTTTTTTTTTTTGCTTGTCCCTAGTACACGTGGTACAGGCCATGATAATCATGTTGGGTAGAAGAAGGTGACTGCTTTTACTGTAAGTGCACCACATGTCTAGACATGTGAAAAGCAGTTCGACTTTGCACTTACAAATGTGCCAGAGCCCGGTTTGGTTACTTGCATTCGCTGGCGGGGTTGGACTTTTGCAATAATCGGGGGCCATTGTAGCATTTTAAAAAAAATTTTATTATAAGAAAAAGTGCCCAATGCAGGAATCAAACCCGGGTCATAGCGGTTGAAAACCAACAGTTTAGACCATCCTTTCACTGACCCCCCTCTACTGTATTTAATGTAACTCCGCCTTTGCCAGTCCTAAGCCCAGATGAAAAAGGAGGGGGGGGGGAGCAGTAACAAGCTCACTAAAAAATCTGGGCTCAGCTGGCCCGGCTGATAGTACCCTGAAAGGGCTCCAGGGATACAGGATGAGAAGCGTTTGTACTCCATGTTAGGAGCATCTGCACATGGCATCATGTCAGAGGTGGCCATTCATTTTGGAGCTAAGTCGGCCTGCCACTGAGTAGTGCTCCCAGTCTTAATGACAAAGACAGACACATTCTACTTCACCCAAACACCATCATCTCAAGCTTTACACCCTAATATGATTGAGTGGAGATAAGAAAGATGTGGTAATGACCTCCACCAGTTGTAGGGCAAGCAACTTCTGACAAGTTTAGGGATCCATCTAAGGATCTAATTTGACACCTCAATAAACAGATACATCTTTCTCACCTAGAGACCTAGTATGGTTCAGTCTATGGTACAATCCTAGGGCAATGGCTGGTACCACCACGTGGAAAAAGAAATCTCTTATCTTTACTTATTATGTTTTTTTCTCTTCCCACAGAATCTTATCTCACTTATCAGATAGGAGTTTGATCACTTCCACTGAGGAAGGACCTTGGACCCGATGAACATACTTTTGGTCAACTGATAACTTTTTATAAATAGAAAGCCTTTCTGAGGGTCAGTGGAAGAAGGGTATAAAACATTGATTTCCAACAGCCATGACTCAGAATTGAATCCGGTATTGAAAACTTTTTCCAGAATAGATAAGGCACAATTTGGATTATAGATTATAAACACGAGGTAATAAGACCAAATCCAAATAAATAGTGTGTGACATTTCGGTAACAGCTTTAGTTACCATCTTCAGACAAAAAAGTACTGAATGAGAAATTTTACCACAGCATGTTAAAACTATTTAAAAAACATGCTGTGGTAAAATTTCTCATTCAGTACTTTTGTCTGAAGATGGTAACAAAGCTGTTACCGAAACGTCACACACTATTTATTTATTTGGATTTGATCTTGGTACCTTGTGTTTTTTTCCAGAATAAAAATAAAATTGCTCCAATTGCCCCTGATTCTTGTAAAAATCCTATCTCACCAGTGAGTGCAAGTAACCAAATGGGATCTCTTTGGCACCTTTCTATGTGCAAAAGCTGAACTGCTTTCTACAAGTTTAGATATGTGGTGCATTTACAGTAAAGGCTGTTGTTAACTACTATCAACCATTGATAAGGTACAATTTGTATTATGGATTATAAACACAAGGTAATAAGACCAAATCCAAATAAAAAAATAGTGTGTGACGTTTCGGTAACAGCGTTGTTACCATCTTCAGCCAAAAGTACTGAAACTTTGATGTACACTACTTTGATTCAGTACTTTTGTCTGAAGATGGTAACAACGCTGTTACCGAAACGTCACACACTATTTTTTTATTTGGATTTGGTCTTATTACCTTGTGTTTACTATCAACCATGATTATCATGGCTAGGTGTATTAGGGTTAATAAAAAAGAATGAAAAGCTTCTCAAAGGGTACTAAGCATGCTTTATAGAGCTTGGTTGGGTTTCTTCATTAGTGTCATCTACCCACACTAAACATTATATACTGGAAACATTGGCCCATGCTAACCAATTCCAGTGTTGTATTTGAAACTACTGTAAGGAGCTAAAGTGGCAGGTTGCTGCACTTTATATGGAAACTAATATGGGAGTTTTGTACTTGGCGGAATCAAGGTTGGCCATTATATTTAGAGTAGAACCTTCATAAGAGTTCAATCTCACTAGAGGACATCACTCTATAAATAATAGTTTTCATCGTCAAAATGTTCATTTCCACTATTTAGCAACTCTCTGTTAAGAAGATAAATCTCCCTAAAGGACACTTTGGTTCTGTAACTAGTTGTTGTCCTTTACAGAGAGGTAGTTCTACTGTAACTCTGGTAAGACAACACCTCTTCCTAAAGGACACTTTGGCTCTGCAACTAAGTGTTGCCTTTTACAGGGAGGTTCTACTGTAACTCTGGTGAGACAACACCTCTTCCTAAAGGACACTTTGGCTCTGCAACTAGGTGTTGTCCTTTACAGGGAGGTAGTTCTACTGTAACTCTGGTAAGACAACATCTCTTCCTAAAGGACACTTTGGCTCTGCAACTAGGTGTTGTCCTTTACAGGGAGGTAGTTCTACTGTAACTCTGGTAAGACAACACCTCTTCCTAAAGGACACTTTGGCTCTGCAACTAGGTGTTGTCCTTTACAGGGAGGTAGTTCTACTGTAACTCTGGTAAGACAACACCTTCCTAAAGGACACTTTGGCTCTGCAACTAGGTGTTGTCCTTTACAGGGAGGTAGTTCTACTGTAACTCTGGTGAGACAACACCTCTTCCTAAAGGACACTTTGGCTCTGCAACTAAGTGTTGTCCTTTACAGGGAGGTAGTTCTACTGTAACTCTGGTAAAACAACACCTCTCCCTAAAGGATACTTTGGCTCTGCAACTAGGTGTTGTCCTTTACAGGGAGGTAGTTCTACTGTAACTCTGGTAAGACAACACCTCTTCCTAAAGGACACTTTGGCTCTGCAACTAGGTGTTGTCCTTTACAGGGAGGTAGTTCTACTGTAACTCTGGTAAGACAACACCTTCCTAAAGGACACTTTGGCTCTGCAACTAGGTGTTGTCCTTTACAGGGAGGTAGTTCTACTGTAACTCTGGTGAGACAACACCTCTTCCTAAAGGACACTTTGGCTCTGCAACTAAGCGTTGTCCTTTACAGGGAGGTAGTTCTACTGTAACTCTGGTAAAACAACACCTCTCCCTAAAGGATACTTTGGCTCTGCAACTAGGTGTTGTCCTTCACCAAGAGGTTCTCCAGAATATAGTTAAACCTGTCTATAGCGCCCTCTTGGGACTCACCAAAATAGGGTGCTATAGAGAAGGGGTGCTATAGACAGGTCGCTTTTAATGTAAATCACATCGTACTACATTTTTAAAATGGGCGCTATAGAGAGGGAGGTGCTATTTAGAGGGGGCGCTATAGACAGCCTTAACTGTATTGTACCAAATAATGTAGTCAGAGTTCAGATCTTGGCTTTCTTTTTGAAACAAAGGAGTTACCCTTGAAACAAAGAAATGCCATTACTGCAATGGGAAATAATGGGAGGGCCCCTTCTAGAAGGTGGCAGTCAAATTTGGCCCTCCAAATAAAAAGAAATCTACAAACTTTACAATCCACATATAAATGGGAGCAAATTGTCATCTCAATGATGCAATAAGCTGACTATAAAAGATGTAGAAACAACAAGTGATAAGTAGATGATAAGACACAATTTGGATTACAGATTACAAACACAAAGGTAATAAGACCAAATCTCCAAATAAATAAATAGTGTGTGACATTTCTGTAACAGCATTGTTACCATCATCAAACAAAAGTACTGATTGTACTTAAGTTCCTTATAAACACAAGATAATAAGACTAAATCCAAATAAATAAATAGTGTGTGACGTTTCTGTAACAGTGTTATTACCATCTTCAGACAAAAGTACTATCTGAGAAGTACTTTTGTCTGAAGATGGTAACAACACTGTTACCGAAACATCACACACTATTTATTTATTTAGATTTGGTCTTATTACCTTGTGTTTATAATCTATAAACCAAATTGTGCCTTATTAAGTACCTTATGTTTGTATAGTTTTTGTATGACTCAGTGTACAGTGACCCAATTGTTTTACTTTACCTCTTCAAGCTAGCTGTCTATGTGTGGACCAATAATCTCCAACTTTTTAATAAGGTACAATTTGGATTATATATAAGTTACATAAGGTAATAAGACCAAATCTCCAAATAAATAGTGTATGGTGTTTTGGTAACAGCATTGTTACCTTAATAAAACAACTGAATCTACTTAAGTTCCTTATCTTTGTAAATAGTTCAAATTTGCATGATATACCATCATCAGACAAAAGTACTAATTGTACTCTAGTTCCTTATGTTTGTATAGTTTTTGTCTGACTCACTTTTCAGTGACCCAATTGGCTTAAGTGTTTTACTTTTAGATCTCAGGAAGGGGGTCGGTGGAAGGCTGATTAAACCGTTTGGTTTACGACCACTACGACCCGGGTTCGATCCCCGCATTGGACACTTTTTTCTGTTTTAAAAAAAAAAAAAAAAAATGCTCCAATGGCCCCCCGATTCTTGCAAAAGTCCAACCCCACCAGCGAGTGCAAGTAACCAAACGGGGCTCTGGCACATTTGTAAGTGCAAAGTCAAACTGCTTTCACATGTGTAGACATGTGGTGCGCTTACAGTAAAAAAAAAGCAGCCGCTAACTACCCACCATGATTATCATGGCCTGTACCACGTGTACTAGGGATAAGCAAAAAAAAAAAAAACTTTTAGATCTCTTCCAGCTAGCTACTTATGTGACAGCCACTATCTCTAACTTTTATGACAAGGTACAATTTGGATTATATATTAGATACACAAGGCAATAAGACCAAATCTCTAAATTAATAGTGTGTGATATTTCAGTAACAGCATTGTTACTATCATCAGACAAAAGTACTGAATGTACTTAAGTTGCATATGTTTGTATAGTTCCTATAGTTTGTCTGACTCAGCGTACAGTAACCCAATTGGCTCAAGTGTTTTACTTTTAGACCTCTTCCACAGCTGTTTATGTGCAAATCACTAATTCCCTAACTCTTTGATAAGACACAATTTGGATTATAGATTTGGATACACAAGGTAATAAGGCTAAATCTCTAAATAAGTAAATAATGTGTGACGTTTCGGTAATAGCGTTGTATTACACAAAGTTGTATGAGGAACAGACGCAGCTGCTCCTAACATGGAGTACAAACGCTGTTCATCCTGTATCCCTGGAGCCCTTACAGAGAGAGTACTATCAACTGGGTCAGCTGAGCCCAGGTTTTATAGTGAGCTTGTTACTGCTCCCCATCCTCCTTTTTCATCCGGGCTTGGGACCGGCAAAGGCAGAGTTGGTCTAAAAGTAAAACACTTGAGCCAATTGGTTCACTGTACGCTGAGTCAGACAAACTATAGGAACTATTCAAACATATGGAACTTAACTACATTCAGTACTTTTGTCTGATGATGGTAACAATGCTGTTACTGAAATATCACACCCTATTAATTTAGAGATTTGGTCTTATTACCTTGTGTATCTAATATATAATCCAAATTGTACCTTGTCATAAAAGTTAGAGATAATGGTTGTCACATAGACAGCTAGCTGGAAGAGATCTAAAAGTAAAACACTTAAGCCAATTGGGTCACTGAACAGTGAGTCAGACAAAAACTATACAAACATAAGGAACTGGAGTACAATTAGTACTTTTGTCTGATGTAGGTAACAACAATGTTACAGAAACATCACACACTATTGGGATATTTGGTATTACAGTACAACCTCCATGAGAGGACACTAATTCTAGAGGACACCTCTCTATAAAGGATAGATTTCATTTGCAAAATTACAATTTATACTATTGATAAGACACAATTTGGATTATAGATTATAAACACAAGGTAATAAGACCAAATCCAAATAAATATATAGTGTGTGACATTTCGGTAACAGCGTTGTTACCATCTTCAGACAAAAGTACTGAAACTGAAAAAGTACTGAAAGTACTTTTGTATGAAGATGGTAACAACGCTGTCACCGAAACATCACACACTATTTATTTATTTTGTCTTATTACCTTGTGACCATTTATAATATTGAGCAACTCTCCAGTAAGAAGACACCTCTCCCTAAAGGATAATTTGGCTCTGTAAATAGGTGTTGTCCTTTATAGGAAGGTTCTACTGTATTAACTTTTTTATATAATAGATAAACAAAATTGGGTCTTATTAAAAAGTTAGGGATTTAGTGATCTGCACATGGCAGCTAGCTGAAGGAGGTCTAAAAGTAAAGCACTTGAGCCAATTGGGTCACTGTATGGTGAGTCAGACAAACTTGAGGATTTCCTGACAACCATACCAGTTACTCAGCAAACTAGAAGTAGAACCTCCTATCTCCATTATGTCACTTTTGATAATATCTTTGAGGCCTTTTTTTATATACAGTAGAACCTCCCTATAAAGGACACCTAGTTGCAGAGCCAAAGTATCCTTTAGGAAGAGGTGTAGTCTTACCAGAGTTACAGTAGAACCTCCCTATTAAGGACACCTAATTGCAGAGCCAAAGTATCCTTCCTGTAAAGGACAACACCTAGTTGCAGAGCCAAAGTATCCTTTAGGAAGAGGTGTTGTTTTACCAGAGTTACAGTAGAACCTCCCAGTAAAGAACAACACCTAATTGCAGAGCCAAAGTATCCTTTAGGAAGAGGTGTTGTCTCACCAGAGTTACAGTAGAACTACCTCCCTGTAAAGGACAACACCTAGTTGCAGAGCCAAAGTATCCTTTAGGAAGAGGTGTTGTTTTACCAGAGTTACAGTAGAACCTCCCTGTAAAAGACAACACTTAGTTGCAAAGCCAAAGTGTCCTTTAGGAAGAAGTGTCCTCTAACGGAGAGTTTCAAAATAGGAAAAAGTGGTAATTTTGTAAATGAGGTGTTCTCTAGAGGGAGTGTCCTCTCATGGAGGTTCTACTGTATTAGAAATTGTGGAACTCTGGTGTCCCTAGGATTTGTACTTAATTCATCAGTATGTTAAAGATAAAATCATTTTTGAACTACAGTCTTTAATTTCCAGACTTAAGTCTGGTCATCTACGGACAATGAAAGAATAGTTGCAAGGTTTTCCCACTATGTACTAACTGTCAACCTGTAACCTTGAACTACATTATTGATTGTACAGTAGAACCTCTCTATAAAGGAAACCTAATTGCAATGTCAAAGTGTTCTTTAGGGAGAGGTGTCCTCTTACCGGAGAGTTACTAAATAGAAAAAATCGGAAATTTTGTAAAAGAAAACTGACCTTTATAGAGAAGTGTCCTCAAAGCACAAGTGTCTTCTCATGGAGGTTCTACTGTAGTAGTGAAACCCTTGCAACCATTCTGGAAAGTCAATGTTTGTAGTTAAATTATTATTTCTAACTATAAAATGTAAATTTTGTTGCCCTTCTCATAGCATGATGAATAGGTACCAAGCTATCATTTGACAAGTACAGTAGAACCTCCCTGTAAAGGACAACACTTAATTGCAGAGCCAAAGTGTCCTTTAGGAAGAGGTTTCCTTTTACAGAGAGTTGCTAAATAGTAAAAATTGAGAACTTTGTAAATGAAAACTGTCCTTTATAGAGAAATGTCCTCTAGCGTGAGTGTCCTCTCATGGAGGTTCTACTGTATTGGTGATGAAAACTGTCCTTTATAGAGAGGTGTCCTCTAACGAGAGTGACCTCTCATGGAGGTTCTACTGTATTGGCTCATTGATTGATAAGCTTTACTAGTTAGTTTGTGGCGATGGTCAATAGATGGTGTCTAGTTTTGATGTTCATTTTGACGAGAGAGGCGCCCTATGATTTTATAATTGTAACTTCCTTAACCAAATTCAAACCTCCATTGAGCCATTGTGGTTGCCGGGAGGAGATTGCCAGGCAACTGCCACAGAAGGCAATAAAAAAACGAGCAGCAGGTCCAATAATCAGACAGATCCGCCACGTGATTAGATAAGGATTCAACTATGTGGGTCAGGGAACCTCCACCTGTCAACCTTGCTTCCAGATCAAAGTACAGTTAGTGCTTGCTATGGCACCCAGGGATACTGTATGAGAGGACACTCCAGCTAGAAGACACCGCTCTACAAAGTACAGTTAGTGCTTGCTATGGCACCCAGGGATACTGTATGAGAGGACACTACAAAGTACAGTTAGTGCTTGCTATGGCACCCAGGGATACTGTATGAGAGGACACTCCAGCTAGAAGACACCGCTCTACAAAGTACAGTTAGTGCTTGCTATGGCACCCAGGGATACAGTATGAGAGGACACTCGAGCTAGAAGACACTACTCTACAAAGTACAGTTAGTGCTTGCTATGGCACCCAGGGATACTGTATGAGAGGACACTCCAGCTAGAAGACACTACTCTACAAAGTACAGTTAGTGCTTGCTATGGCACCCAGGGATACTGTATGAGAGGACACTCCAGCTAGAAGACACCGCTCTACAAAGTACAGTTAGTGCTTGCTATGGCACCCAGGGATACAGTATGAGAGGACACTCCAGCTAGAAGACACTACTCTACAAAGTACAGTTAGTGCTTGCTATGGCACACAGGGATACTGTATGAGAGGACACTCCAGCTAGAAGACACTGCTCTATAAAGTACAGTTAGTGCTTGCTATGGCACACAGGGATACTGTATGAGAGGACACTCCAGCTAGAAGACACCGCTCTACAAAGTACAGTTAGTGCTTGCTATGGCACCCAGGGATACTGTATGAGAGGACACTCCAGCTAGAAGACACTGCTCTACAAAGTACAGTTAGTGCTTGCTATGGCACCCAGGGATACTGTATGAGAGGACACTCCAGCTAGAAGACACTGCTCTACAAAGTACAGTTAGTGCTTGCTATGGCATCCAGGGATACAGTATGAGAGGACACTCCAGCTAGAAGACACCGCTCTACAAAGTACAGTTAGTGCTTGCTATGGCACCCAGGGATACTGTATGAGAGGACACTACAAAGTACAGTTAGTGCTTGCTATGGCACCCAGGGATACTGTATGAGAGGACACTCCAGATAGAAGACACTACTCTACAAAGTACAGTTAGTGCTTGCTATGGCACCCGGGATACTGTATGAGAGGACACTCCAGCTAGAAGACACTGCTCTACAAAGTACAGTTAGTGATTGCTATGGCACCCAGGGATACAGTATGAGAGGACACTCCAGCTAGAAGACACCGCTCTACAAAGTACAGTTAGTGCTTGCTATGGAACCCAGGGATACTGTATGAGAGGACACTCCAGCTAGAAGACACTACTCTACAAAGTACAGTTAGTGCTTGCTATGGCATCCAGGGATACAGTATGAGAGGACACTCCAGCTAGAAGACACCGCTCTACAAAGTACAGTTAGTGCTTGCTATGGCACACAGGGATACAGTATGAGAGGACACTCCAGCTAGAAGACACTACTCTACAAAGTACAGTTAGTGCTTGCTATGGCA